GATCTCGGCTCACTGCAACCTCCACCTCCTGGGTTCAAGCGATTCTCCTGTTTCAGCCTCCTGAGTAGCTGGGACTACAGGGGTGCACCACCACGGCTGGCTAATTTTTCATATTTTTAGTAGAGATGGGATTTCACCATGTTGACCAGGATGGTATCCATCTCCTGACCTTGTGATCTGCTTCTTTTATGTCTTAGTGCTCCGAGCTGGGTTGAGAACTGAAGACACAATGATGAAGAAAACAATCCTACCAGCAAGTCACTTGTGAAGTTCATGTGACCCGTGATGCCGACACCCTCTGAGAGCCCAACAGAGGGACTGACTCATCAGACCCTCCCGGCTTCACCTGCCACGTACCATGCCTTGCTCCAGCGCCCTCTTGATACGTGCAGCATCTGCCACTGGGAACCAGATCTCGGCGATGACACACTGCTGGGTGACGTCGATGTTGCACATGTTGAGGATGTGGTAGACGGCCTTCATCTTCTGCACCTTGATGAACCAGGAGTGCCAGTTGGCGGCCGCTTCCTGCAGCAGGCGCTGGCGGTGAGACTCTGTTTGTGTTATGACCTATACAAAAAGCACAGGACACAGGCAACATTCCTAGAGCTGTTCACAGCAGGCTCCTTTGACCTGTGGCTCTCACCTGACCTTTAATTCTCCTGAGCACCTTTATCTCCCCTACCAGAGGCTCAAACCCTTAGGCAGAGATTCTATCTTCCTTTTCCTCTAAATTCCTCATAGTCCTATTGTTATGGGTTGAATTGTCAAAATAAAAGATAGATGGAAGTCCTAAACTCTGATACCTGCAAATATGACCTTTTTGGAAAGAGGGTCTTTGCAGATGGAATCAGGTTAAGCTGAGGTCATACCGGATTCCAATGGGCCCTAATCCCATATGACCAGTGTCCTGATAAGAACATGTGACAATGAAGGCAGAGATGGAAGGAGGCGCCCAAAAGCCAAGGAATGCTGAGGATGGCCTGCAGCACCAGAGCTGGGAGAGGCAAGGAGGGACCCTTCCTGTCTTTGGAGGGAGCATGGCCCTACTGACACCTTGATTTCAGACCTCTGGCCTCCAGGACCCCGAGAGAATAAATCCCTATTGT